TGGGTTTCTTAGCTAAGCAGCTAAGCACAAGAGATTATGCTCAACATCAGGCAGAATCACAGATATTTGCCAAGCAGAAGCCAGACCCAAACACTTTGGTAGGCTCAAGAGAAACATCCCAAAAATGCAGGCTGCTTGGGTACCTCTCAAAACTGGATGCAATTTGCTCTGTGTCTCTGCTTTTAGCCTCTCTTCTTCCTAACTCAAGGATGACAAAGTGCAAATGATGTCTCATCCCCAAGCTTCATCCCTTCAGGGATTCCAGCTTAGCCAACACATTGTCTGTATCTAACCTTGTTTATCATAACATATGACTGGTCTGGCTTGTGCTGAAAGTACCTCCAAACAGAACAGCACCTCACATGGAAACCAAAGGCCACCAGCTGAGAAGCCAGGTTTGGCTGCTGCAGCCATGCAGGTTTCAGTCTATGCAGAGCACAGGCAGGCTGAACTCCCATCCACCTACACAGACAGACCAGAGTCCCTTCCCCTGTTACCTCACCCTGCTGTACTGGTGAACCAGCACTCACTTGTGCACAACTCTTCTTCCAGGAGCAAAGGAGCTGGAAAGCTTTGCGGGTGCTGCCCACAGGCCTGCTGTGCAAGTCACCATGAAGAAACCCACCTTCCCTAGGAGCAGCCAGGCAGGAGCCAAGGAGCGAGACCTGGCTGGGCTCTCCTACAGCACAGAGACACCGGGCATGGGCGGTCGAGGGGAAGCCGCAAGCTTCGGGCAGGTGAATTCCAAGAGTGAAGCTGAGGATTTTCATGGAGCTTATGAGGATCCACCTCAGGCTTCACCTCTGCGGTAAGACAGCATCACATCCTGGGTTAGCTTTATACAGTCCTTAGGGGATGGACTGCCTGGTGACCCCACAGTTCAACCATAAAGATCCTGAGACCCCATACCTGAACAGGGAAATGGGCAGATGCAGCAAACAGCATTTTCACCAGTGCCCATCTGTAAGTAACGCTAAAGCATCACCCCAAATAATTCATCTCTAGAAGACTTTTGGCTCCATGGCAGAGCATGAGGCAGAGGTGACAGTACCTGGGGAATGTCAAGGTACAGTTCTGGAGCCTCAGCCAAATGGCATCACCTCATTGTTTCATCAAACCTCGTGTTTCCATTTCCCATTCTGAATGAGAGCAATAAAACTCGAGATCCTGGCAGTGTGGTGCAGATGGTACCTGCAAAGCACTTTGTGGAGGAAAAGCACTGAACCGGTGACCCACTGGATAGAATACAAACTGTCCCATGCCACAGCAGGGACACTCCCCATTCAGGACGTGGAGGCTTTCCCCAAGGACAAAGTGTTCCATCTCATAACAAGACTCAATCCAATTTCTGTCCCAAATGCACCTCTCCAGTAGCTAATGCACTTACTGCATTGTTAGTTACCCTGTTTCATTGCTCCACAGAAGCAAACCAAGGCAGAATGCACACCTTTCTTAGCAGTTCCATCCCAGATTGCTGTAGCGTTTCTCAGGTGTTTATAGGCAGAACAGAGACCCCAGATGGTGACAGTTAAGAGGTCCAAGCCCTGCAGAGGAGTGTCCTCAGTTGTCTTTGTGAAGGCGAGAGCTACAAGGCAGACCTGTGCCTCCTCCCAGCTGACTGCCAGCGCTGCACTGCAGTGATCCTGTTACACCGGGTGTAAATGGCTGTGTGGGGCAGAAAGTGTTCTGTGGTATGGATTACTTTGGGATGCACTCAGCCACTTTAATTAAACTCAGTTATTTAACAGTTCTGAACACCCCTCTCCAAACTCACTACATGCAGCCTGCACGTGCTGCTGTCACCTTCAAGCATCACAAGCAGAGCAGGTGAAGGCAGCACCCTGTTCAAGTCAACTCACCCTCAGCTACCCCAGGTCCAAACACCTCGAGATAAGGCTGTTTGCTTGGGAGTACCTAATGCAGAACAACACTGCATTGCTTGGAATCACTACATGATGACTGGTTGAAACACCAGCACACTGCTAATAGTCTGCAGAGCAAAACTGAAGCCTTTATAAAAGAATCATTAGCATAATTACCTCCTGGAAGGGATGGGGCAGCAGGAGGTATTTGTTGCCTGTCCTTTTAGAACAGCTGTAGCTTTCCAGCCTCTCCTAAAGGCAGCAAGAAGCCTGTGTTTTGGCGTTTATAACAAGCAAGCTGTGGGGAAGCTCGTTTAGATGATACTTGCTGCTCAGGATGCCTGCTTGTAAAGTTTATCACTTGCAGCAGCAACAGGGAGCTGCAGCACCTGATACCCTGCATGAAGGGATATAAAATGCCACCAAAATCAGCTATGTAATAACTCTTAAAAATTTGGGTTATCTAAAACATTAACTAGTCTAGAACTGCAGAGTGCTTCTGATTGACACTGATGCTGAACCACATTTTGGAAGGCATTTACATGTCTCAAGATACAACAAGAAAACTAGTAAAGTTTCTAGATATACCCATCTATGAGAACTTAAATGTCTCTAAAGCCCACAGTCTTATTGCCATGTGCTTTGAAGCATCATTCTGAATAGGAGTCAGCATTGTAAATGTTGCTGTTACCTCAAACTAAGCAATCATCTCTAATGATGAGCTGTACAATAACTGTCTTGTTAGCCAGATTCAGCTGTACAACTCCCATGTAGCGTACGTGGTTGCATCTGTATTACCAGAGACAAGAAGCAATACCAACAGTGTAGGACAGAACAAAGCTACTACTGAGAGTAACTATAAAGTGAATGGAGTCCTCGTACTCATAGTCTACAAATCATGGCTTAGCAACAGCCACTCCACAAGAGCTACAAAGTGCAGCTCTACAGGACTTGTCACTACCAGCTAGTCCTTTCCGAGCCCTTTGTATCTGCAGCTTACAGTGGCCTTCCCAATAGCCTTAAAGAGGAAGAACAAAATCTATACTGATTAGTATTAATCATGAACTAATTGTATATGATATTTATATGTATATATAATAATTATATTATCCTGAATTAATCTATACTGCTTAACTTAATCCAAGCAAAAGGAGATGCTTTGGGCACTGAGTATACCCCCAGGTAGCTTTTAAGAGGCCCTAAAAAATAGGGCAGGTTTTGCTGTATGAGTCAAGCAGGGGAACCCAATCAGACCCAACACTGTTCATAGAAAGTAAACTGAAGCAGTGCAGAAAAGCCGTTTCTAACACCTCGCAGTGCTGGGCAGTGCTACCAAGTTACCTTAGCATAGGCTGGGAGGTTCATTCCTCTACCTCTATCAGTCCAGCTTCTAGTTCTTTCAATGCTACTTCTGCCTTCTGGATCTCGTGTTTTCCTGTTCCTTCTCTTCCACACAAGCCATCCTAGTAGCGTGCAGTCTTTAAGTGCATAAAGTAATGCCTTGCAGGCAGCTTTAGTTCTGAAACAAGCAGACTGCACTCTCATCGAAGAAGATGAGATGTGAGCACAGAGCCCGACCTTCAACATGCTCACAGCTCCCTACAGTCACCTTCTTTTAATACTCTGGGCAAACTACAGGGGCTTTTAATCGTTATTACTTAAAAAGCAAATTACCTCTGCAACAGCCAGCGCCTCACTTCCTCCCTTAATCACTCTCACGACGAGGAATTCAAGTAAATTAGCACTCAATTAACACCTGCCATGTAGATTTAGTTCCCAAACGAGGGGCTGATGTTTGAATACAAACACGAAGTGTGGATTAACTCCTGAAGATCAGCTCTGCTTTAAGACCCATCAGTGCAGCAAAGGGAGGCAACTGAGGGACCCCGTGCAGCCCAGCTGTGGGATGGGGGGTTTAAATAATAGCGTGTATGTTAGGCAAGAGTTGCTAAAGTATAATTAAGATAAATTAACATTATAGTGTTTTAAGTAAGATATAATTGAGCATTGAGGCCTTTGATTAAAGGGATACAAATCACCTGATTTGCCAGCCAGCAGGATCTGTTGCTGTTCGGGTGAAAACACCACAGCTGCATCTTTTAATCCTAGGATGCTTTGGGTTGGAAGGGACCTTAAAGCCCACCCAGCTCCAACCTCTGCCACGGGCAGGGACCCCTTCCACTGGAGCAGCTTGCTCCAAGCCCGTGTCCAACCTGGCCTTGAGCACTGCCAGGGATGGGGCAGCCACAGCTTCTCTGGGCACCCTGTGCCAGCGCCTCAGCACCCTCACAGGAAGAGTTATTTCCTAATATCTCATCTACATATCCCCTGTTTCAGGTTAAAGCCATTTCCCTTGTCCTGTCCCTACATGCCCTTGTAAAAAGCCCCTCTCCAGATTTCTTGTAGTCCCTTTAGGTATCAGAAGACTGTTATAAGGTCTCCCCAGAGCCTTCTCCAGGTTGAATAAGCCCAAGTGTCTCAGCATGTCTCCAGAGCAGAGGTGCTCCCTGAGCATCCTCATGGCCTCCTCCAGACTCACTCCAACAGGTCTGAGTAATCCAATATCTGCAATAATATACACAAACAGCAACATAATCACATAACATTTACCACCAAATGTATTTTATTTGTGTTACCCGTTTATTTATTATGCATTTACCACCAAATGTATTTTATTTGCGTTACCCCGTTTATGACCCTTCAGACAGATCCGCCAGCACTGCTGCTGCTCTGATGAAGCAGAGGTGTGGGTAGCACCAGGCTTGGTGGGATGCACTCAGTCACTTTAATTAACTCAGTTATTTAACAGTTCTGAACACCCGTCTCCAAACTCACTCTCAAGACTCACAGGGTCTGCTGCTGGGTGCCTATTTAGAGATTAACCTCTGCCTTTCGAGTGCTGCCTTTAACCACGCAGCCTTACAAGCAGCAGCAGAGCAGTGTCACTGCAGAGGCAGCTAATTGGCAAATGGATTAGAACAGGAATCCCGGTGAGATAACGAAGCGGGGTTTAGGGATGCTTCCTCGTTGCTGCCCTGTTCGGGGGTGAGCACTGACCTCGGGCACCTGCCAAGCCCCGCTCCCTCCCCTCGGGGACGGGTGACTCTTATTCTGACAGCGGTGACGGGCAGCGCGGTGCCACCCGCGGGCAGCGCATTAAAGCCGCGGCCGCGGTGCGAGGCCCCGTCCCGATCCTCCCTCCCTCCGCTCGCAGCCCGGTGACAGCGCCCAGGCGGTAGGTACGGGGCTGCGGCTGGGGGGGCTCAGCGTTACCTTGCGCTCCGGAGCCGGTTAGGGAGCTGGAGTGAGACGGTGATGGGCGGGGGGCACCGTCGGGGCGGCGGTGGCACAGGGAACGTGGGAGGCAACCGTGGGGAAAAGCGGTTTGCTGCTGTTACCGGTTGTTTTCGACTCGCGAGGTCGAAAGTCTCCTTGGATCTATGGCGTTTCTCCACCCCACATCGAGGTGGAAGGATGTGAGGAGCTGTGAACAAGTGAATCTGTGCATTCGTCGAAGTGCAGTACTCAAGAAAACAAAGTGATTCTGGAGAACAAAGTAAGCGTTGGTTTCTGTGCACAGCCCGGGGGTTAAATGAATGGATCTGTGCGCGGTTAACAATATAAAATGGTACCAAACCAAGATCCAACAAGTTTCCTGCATTAGCAAATAGGAGCATACTGTAGATATGCTCCTAAAATTTAAGCCAGCTTCAGATTCCAAGAGCAAACCAAGGGGAAAGTCAGGGAATTTTTAGTAGAAAAGCTCTATTTCTGTGCAGTCAGTTCACAATGTATGTTCACCATTACCTTTAGGAAGTGAAAGCTCTGAAGCTTTAAAAGCAGACTGATGTCTTCAGTCATCTCCCCCCCACGGGAATTTATGACCCCGTGGAGCCCTTCCTGGGCTCGGCAAGGTTAGGGATACAATATACAGGGTATATATAGCAGTGAAACAGCTGAGCTCACTGGGGCAAGATTGCCATTTTTTCCAGCACATGTAACTGTGTGGATTTATAGTCTCACTTTTTATTAGCAGCTCTACGTTTGTTCTGGGGGTTATTTAGGTATCCTGGGGCTCAAGTTGTCAGTTCTGAGCAGACTTGCTCAGTTCTCTCTAGTGAAGCTTTCCTGGGTTTTTGAGCTGATGGAAAACCTGGGGTTAGATATTAAGGACATGCAAAATAACTGCAGGAGCTCCAAGCAGCTTGGCTTGCTCTACTTTATCCTGCAACTATGTCATGCTGGCAATTATTAGCCCTAACAGCAAATCTAGACAAGCACAACCCTTGGCATTCCAATGCCAAACATGAATTGAGTGTAAAAAGCTGTGAATTCAAACTCCATTAGAGAAGAAATTGGAATACTTAGTTTCAAAGGTTTAGGCTTAAAAGTGGAACTGGTTTTATGCTTTCCTGTGGAATAAGGCGTTTCTCAGCACAAATGGCCAATTCTCTGAGTACATGTAGTATTTTGACAGGGCACAAAACTGTAGGAGCCAGAGATCTTTAGTTAAGATGATACATGGCAATTTACCCTGCTTAGCAGTAGTACCTACAGTCACCTATAGTGTTATGAAGGTGTGGGTCCTCTCAATTAACCCATTGCTGTTTCCTTTACTGGGTTCTTGCAGATAAGAGCCCTACACCCGAGTCAGAGTGCATGACCTGGTACTGGAATCCAAAATGTTCATACAGTTCTCGTCAATTCTAAATCTCTTCATTTTAAGCTCAAGCTTTAATTGTCTGAACTTCCTACACTTTGGCTTGCTCATGACTGCTCACAACACAGTATGTTTGTGGTTCAGATGGTGATGTGCCATTTATTTTATCTGTATTGTCTTCCTTAAGGGAAAATCCACACCAAGAAAGCCTCTATTCTGCAAGGCAAGGGTTCCATTCTATCCAGGAGCCCAGCCAAGACAGCTTTCGTGGCCTACCACCTAGTTTTTACCAGGCACCCATCCAAAGCCAGTTATCACCAACAAAAACCCAGGACAGCCGCGAAACCTCTCCTATGAGTGTCCCTAATTTCCCATCCGTTTCCTCTATGTGTCAACCAACCATGTTTAACTACGAGCGTCCAAAACACTTTATCCAGTCTAAGAATGTGTGCCAAGGGCAACAGCAGCCTCCGGGACCCGCAGCCTCTACAGAGTCAAGCAGACAACTCAAACAATCCTCCATCCTAATACAGCCTCGTAACCCCAGCGGGCAGAAATTCTCCTCCTCGTCATCGCTGAGCTCGTCAATCACGCTCTCCTCGCCTTCCTGTAGTGCCCCTAAGGAACCCACATATCCCGTCACTCCTGCATCCGCGCAGTCTCCTGCTAGCTCCTCATCCGGGCAACGGCTTATATCCATGCCTAACCAACCCCCCGCAGCATTCCTGTGCTCAGTGCTACCCTCGCAGCCCGACTATAACAGCCAAACTCCTTCTCCTATGGAACCTCAGTAAGTATATACAGGCTTCTAACCTCCCCTTGCTTTCCTCTGGCCTGGCCTCCCCCATGCACTGACCATCTTAAATCCAACCATCCAGTGAAGCACCGAAGCCAATGGTACAACCCCCATTGACTTCTGATGCTTGAGGCAGGATTCTGCATGATTCGGGTTAGGAGGCTGAGTGCTTGCCCTTGGTGTCTGTGTGGGACAGATGGGTATCCGACCAGGAATTACACTGCACAGCAGTCATGGCAGGGCTGCTGGACAGCTTTTCTGGAGTCAGTTTGAACAGTTCAGTTTGATTTGATGGAAAACTCTTATTTAAGGGTATTCACAAGAGGAAGGACACCCATCTCAAATGAGTCTCTCTCAGCAAACATGGCTCATGAATGGGGAGGGAGGGGGGAAGGCAGTAGTAATCCCACATCTAACCAACGCTCCTAGTACGTCTCAGCAGTACTTTCATGTTCCACATCATGATGGGACTCTACATTCCCCTACAGTAGAGTTTTAATTAATCATAACAGGAAGGCAGCCACATGAAAACTTCACCCCTTCAGACCAAAGCCTAGATTCTTTCCTGAAGATGTATTATATCATTTTGCCTTTGGGCTGCAATCCAAATATCTTCCAAGGTCAATGAGATGTCAGAGGGAGCTGGGTCTTGCCTTCTCATCAACTTGTATTTGTGCCAATATTAGCTGGAAGTCCTGCAGAAAGTCAGTGCGGAACACACCACACTCAACTGAGGATGTTAGAAAGGTGATAGGGGCTGGGGTCCTGCTGGCTTGGGTATAAATCCAGGTTTAAGCACCAGTTTGTAGTCAGGGAATCTGAATGCTTGTGGGATTTCTCTGAATCACAGCACTGTGCGCAGCGGAAAGGTAAGGCTGAGTGCGCTGTTGCTTAATAGTACTGGGGTTAGTGACGCACCCGGAGTAACTGTTGGGTTCTGTGTGTAGTGTGGGGCTGTTTTCATAGCAAAGAGCTTCAGTGCCTCATTGTGCTTTTCATATCAGCTGTTCTTCAATGCAGCATCCTGTGAGTTCAGGAGTTATTTCCCTAATCATGCTCCAAAGTGGCAGATGGGGACAGGAGATGCATTAATCTGTTGGGCAAATTATTTATGTTTCTAAGTTATAACTTGGGCAAGTTCTTAAATCCAAGCAGTGCTGGGAATACATACCAGAATGATGACTTGAATAGAATGATGTTTGTATCGTATTTCAATGATAATTGAATAGAAGTAATTGCTGAACACAACTGCAGCATCGGGGCCATGCTGTGTGCAACAAACCAGGTTGGATCCTGTCAGCACAGAGTGCTCTGACCTCGACCAAACGTGTTTCAAAGGATGTTCCTCTTTTCCTAGCACCTTTCAGAATCAAGCCTATTATCTAACTCCAAAACTTGACCGTATCTCTTGACTATGGATTACAGGACCAAGCTATGTGATGGGGTCCTAAAGACCTAGCCTGGTTTAGAGTAAGCTCAGCTATTGACTATCTGGACAGAAATGCTGTGGGAAGTAGCTTTCTGGGGCCAAGAGGAAGAGGACAATTAATAAGTTATTTGCTCATACCCAGTCAAGTAGTTTGTGACCTTGTTGAGGGTTTGCAGCACCAGGGCCTTACTAACAGTGGTAATTGCAAAGGAATGCAGTTTCTGAGGAAGAACTTACTCCCAAATGGGCCACATTGCTAGCGCACATCTAAGTCCTGGCAGGGGCCACTGCAGGGTGTAGGGATGCTGAACAGCCACCCACAGCAAACTGCTGCGAGTGTTGTGGGAGGAACTCAGTGACTTGGTTAGACCATGATGCTTCCCCTTTTGATACCCAGTTGTGCCACCCAGCCTACCTATCTCCCAAATGCTTTACGTGTTCATTTGAACCACAGTTTCTAGGTACCAGGTTCACCTTGTGTGCGTTCTGTGAAGCTGTAGCAGTCAAGCAGGCCTACAGGAATAACTTTGTTTTCTCTTCTTGCGTGAGCAGTTACTCACAACCAATGTATAACAAACAAGCTAGCATCAACTCTATGCAGAAGACGTCAGATCATGAAATTCGAGGAACAAAAGAGGCCCTCATTCAGGACTTGGAAAAGAAACTCCGATGCAAAGACAACCTTCTCCAGAATGGCAACCAGGTAAGGGGAACCTGCTGAGGGAAGAACCAGTGTGCTCTGACTCTTGGTAGTGTAATCAGGGATGTGGAGAATAGTTCTAGTGCCCAGAGGCACTCTAAACTGAGCAGAAAGCAGAAGGAAACGCTGGAGCAACACTGCCCGAACACTGAATGCATGGCAAGAGATGGTTGCTGTAAATCTACCCACAGGCATGTACTGTGGCAACTGATTGTCTGCACCTCCCATGGCATCAGAAAGGGAGGTGTTAACTTCTGAAAGCCACCTGGTGCAGCAAGATGGGTTTAATCTGCTATTGCCTTTCCTCTTATCCTACCTTCTTGGCTAGCATTCACCATTCAATCTATCTTTGAATTTGTGCTATCAAATCAATAAGGCCAGGATTGGGAGAAAGGTACCTGTTTAGAGCCATGGTATGAAGTTGAACTCTGCTGGGGATTCTGCTGAGCATCACATCTGAAGATTAGAAACCCAAGGAGAATCCCTCAGTTCTCCAGACACCATTTCACCCTGGCTTTCTATGCTGGGGTTAATAAACCACCGAGAATCATTAGACACTTAGAGAAGTACCAGCATTTGAAAGCTCATTCTAGAGACCACCACCACATGTGGTAAACCTCTTTGCTTGCTTTTTATATGAACAGAAAATCAAAGAAATTACATGAGTTTTTATCATTAAATCTTGTCTCCTATAAGAAGGACTCTTAGTCTCACTACCTACTTCTTTGTTCTGCAAAGGGGCAAAATGCAATCCCCTTTACCAAGAAATCCAACTCTAGGAGAAAAAATTGCTTACCAGTAGGGAAGCCCATAACAACAAGCTAAAGTGAGCAGGTCTCTAATGTGGGAACCTTCCTGCTGGCTGGAGGCAGACAGGTAAAGCCCAGTGTTGATAGTTGCCATCTTCTTTTCCCTGGAATAGAAAAGAGTTTTTCCCTTACCATCAGTAGGAACAGGTTTGTGTCACATATATCACTTTAAACATTGAAGGAAAAAGAATATATGAGGTCAAATCTGACTTAATGTGTCCCTACCAGGAATGTCCTGTCTGCTGTAAGAAAGCCTGCCATTGCAAGCCAGCTTTTCTTCCCATAGGAAGCCAGGCTAAAAATAAGGCTTATGCAATCGCTGTGCTGTGTCCTCCTCCCCTCGTCCTCCAACAACGCCTGAACCAACTGGTCAATCTCAGCCACACTTGATACAGCCCCAGTGACCTCGGGGATATTAACCTCTCATGGGTTTTCCAAGAGCTCTCTCTTTCTCTTCTAAAGAAAAGTCCCAGAAGCCTCCTTAAACCTTTACCTACCCAGTAGTAGCTACACACACGTCCCATACACAGAGCAGAAGTCCAGTGAGAGCTTGTCCTTGCATCACAAAATCAAACCCAAGGTAACCCTTGTGGGAAGTGAAGAATCAAGTGCTCTGGTGCTCAGGGGGCTGAGGTGCTCTTCTAAAGTAACCCAGATGACAGAATTTGAATTTAACTCCTCTCATATTTATCCCTATGTGCTGTATCCATATTGTAGGAACTTATTGTTCCTACTGAAACACGTTCTTGCTGCCTTCATAAGGTGGCTGTTGCACTGGCATAAGCTTCCCTTGTGCTCTTAGGGGTAGTAGTGCTCCTCTCTGGTTGTATCTGCTGCTAGTGTGGCTCTTGCTTTACTGGGGGTATGTGGGATAGCATCCATCATGGCTCTAGCTCCTGAAGTAAATCCACAGCTGAATGACTTGGGAAGTTTTCCCAGCTCTAACAGAAAGGTACCCTGGGACTTACTCTGGCTTCTGAGATAATGCCATCAGTTACCCATAAATAATCCCAGTGGAGAAAGAGGAGGGGTAGAAGGCCACAGATGGCATTAGAGAGGCTTTGATGAACAGGCAGTTTAATCTTTGATGCATTTCAGTGCTGTATATATTGAGGCTGACTTCAGCAGGCATCACAGACTGCAAAACCCTCTGGAACAGACGTGGGGTTTCTATTCAGCCACTGCTCCCATTGACAACACCCTGAATTAGTGGCATATTAATACGTTCTTACAAGCTGATCTGAAGCAGGGAATGGACTTCTGACTAGAATTCCTCTCCACTCTGCTTTAAGCGATTAACTTATGAAGAAAGAATGGCTCGCAGGCTGCTCGGACCAGTAAATGCTGCATCCGTGTTGGAAACACAAAGTGAAGACAACATGCAGAACGCACAGGTAAAAGGGGAGCTGGCTCTAGAACAGTGGTTTCCTGGTGATTGTGCAGTGGCTTGCTTGGACCTGAACAGGGCAGAGAGATGGGGTTTATCTGGTAACAGTGCAGCGGATGGAAGGGGACTGCTCTCACTTTAGGGGGCTTTTTGGGTGGTGGTGGCAGGAGGAGGGAATTTAAACACCATCCCCTTGCTGGGCCGGATCTGTAGGAATAACCTCACCAAGGAAGAATTACAACAGCTGCTGCACAGCACTGTTGGGTGACAGCAGGGAGGATCACAGCACAGTGAGTGATACAGGTACCGACCCTAACAGCCTGAGTTCAGACAGGGCCAGGGCAGCAAGATTTACACCTGTCACTACTTGGAGCAAGTGACATTCACTACAAGAGGTCAGGGCCTTGGGGTGGGATTGGTTGAGTTTTAGCCCCTCCAGGGGCCTGCATTCATTAAGAGGAAGCAAAGCAGTTATTTTAGCAGCCCACACACTGACAGAAGAGAATCTATCGCTCCTGGCATCTTCAAAAGCATCTTAGTTGGAGACTTGCATCACTCATTGGTTATTCAGGCCAGTTAAAAGCTCTCTTTAGCACTCCTGTGATCAAAGGTAGTGGAAATGTCTGTGATGCGTGCACCGGGTACCTGTGCAGCCAAAGAAAACATCCTTCCTGCTGCGTGCCCATAGAGCCAGCAGGCTGGCACGCACCTTCCAAAGTGCACTTAGCAAAACTCTTCTCTAGAAAAAACACTTAAGATCACAGCAAGGGAGGAATACACAATTTGAGCTGTTTATCCCCAGTAATCACCTGAAAAGAGTAGGTAAGAAGGGAATATTAGGGATGTCAGAGCAAGGGAAGCCCCATCTTTTGCAGAGAACAAGGAAACAGTCAAAACAGGGTAACTGATAGCTTTTAGGATGTGTGAAATGCTGCATAAAAAGGAGCACTGGGAGGAGAGATGGGGAGACCTTATTCCCATTGTTCAGTCTTATTTTTAAATACTGTAGTCACTGATGCATCACTCAGCTTCCTGATTCCTCAGGAACTTAACTACACAGTCAGTCCATATAACAGAGCATTAGAATTATCAGCAGCTCCATCACTACAGCATCATTTCATAAGACAAGTAATAATTGTACAGAACTTGTGTAAATGAGCAGATACAAGCAATTGCCTTCGGACTCAGCGCTAAGTTCAGTCCAGCGAAACCCTCATTCACATAATGCTTCCCCTGAACTTCAGGCTGCTTCTGTGCTTGAAGCTTAAACGCTGGCTTAAACGTTCTACAGGACTAGACTACAAGCACAGAACCAAGCATCATAATGGCTAATTGCAACCACACCAGAAACTTCTATGCAGCATCTCCTCTGTCTGACTCCATTGCTAAAAGGAGTCACTGGTAATAAACTGCATTTCCAGACATGTAAGTTCCTAGCAGGGATGAGTCCTGGGTTTGGAGCAGATTCACTCATGTGATGGTGGAGTTGTCAGCGAGCTTACTTGGTGCTGTGATCTAGAAAGAGAAAAATTTTCCAGCTCAGCATGTGTCCATTGCTCTTGGTACCATATTTAAGTGGGCACAATACAGTGCTCTTGCCAGCGATTCCACTTCTATTCCTGCTATAGGGAAGGACACTCTGTACTTTGCTCTCATTTTAGATACTGCTGGTAGTACTATTCCCCTCTAACAAAGGTTATTGGCACACAAGGTCTTTGGCCAGCCAAACAAAAGCTGCTGCACCTATCACCTGTGCAGAGTGATGAGGAGTTGTGCCATCCTATTAATAGTACTTGTTACTGTCATAGCAAAGCTAAGGGTGAAAGCTGTGTATTAGCTCCTGATGCGAGTTCCTCTACCTCTTATCCTGATGACTCCTGAAGAATTCAGTTTGCTTTTAAGCAGCAATCAGTACATGAAATTAGAATGGCTTCTTGTTCAGTTTATAGATAAAACTTTGTGTTAACTCACCTCTTCCTCTGCTCTTTCCAAACACCAGAATGCAGAAAACATCAGGCTGCAGGTTCCTACAACACACGTAAGGTAATGCACAAACTATGTAAGAGTTGCTGTGCTACTCAAGACCTTATTTCAAATGTTTGTAGACAACGTTGGTTTTATTTCACTACTTATCACCTTTTTTAAAGTAGTAATTACAAAGTCCATTTCTTCTTTTCAACTAAAACTCTACCATTTATGATGCCTTTGATCTTAATCCAGTATAACACAGGTTTAAAGGCTCAGTGTACCTAGGGCAAATATGCTTCGTATTCTGGAAGATTACTCTCTAGTCACAGCAAGGTCTGACAATGTAAATACTGAAACACAGCCTTGTAAGTTCCTTTGGATATTAGGCCAAAGATGAAGGCTTCATAGGTTGTGTTTCTGTGTTGAACATCTTAAGTGGTTATCAAAGCCCATGCCTTCCAGCTAAAACCCAAACCAGAACAGTAGTGTTGGCCTCCTGAACATGTGGAGGGACTTGAGCTGCAGTCAGTGCTTTATGTCATTTGTGCTGTGGTAACTTTGACACAACCAACTTTTCCTGCCCGCTTTTCAGGAGCAGACCATCCTCAAGAGGAGACGAACGTGGACACGACTCAATCCAGGAGAAGTTCTTCCAGCCACGTTTTACACAAGTGCCTGAAGACGTCATTATTGAGGAGGGGCGATTCTGCAGGCTCGACTTCAAAGTAATGCCAGCCTTTCCCTTGCAGTTCCATTAGCTCTGTGTGGTGTGTGGCACAGAAGGGTCTCTGCACGGCACTGCCTATGCATGTTTGTAAGCCAGAGCACTAATGGCAAATGGTACAAAGTCTCTCCAGGCAGTGTAAACCTAGAAACAGGAAATGGCGAAATGTTTTCCCCTTGGAAGATGTAAATGGAATGAGCTGCACAAGAATATGGTTAAAGTTAATAGTGGTAAATACGGACCACCACCTTCTCTGAGGTAACTGTGCCCTTGCTGGAGCAGATAATCTGGCAAGAAAATGGCCTAATTACAGACAGAATGGCCTGAAACTGCATGGCCATTGTCCCAGCCCTAGGGTAAGAAAGAACCTAGATCTGCACATGCAACTTCACTGCAAAGGCTGTTTGCTGCTTGTGATTTGGCTTGGTTTCCCTTAAACACTTCCAATCTCTTTCCTTAAGTAAACTCTTGCCAGACTTGGCATTTTGCTGCAAGTTGCTCAAGTTCTGAATGTTGTGGACAACCTGGAGCATGTCTTCAGGACACCTTATTTACATACATTAACAAAAGAGTGTGATATCAGCACTGCTGACAGTGTGAGCAGTGAGAGTTTCCCCTTCTATGAACCCACAATGAGGACCTGCCTAATCAAAGCTACCTTACAAGATGGGGTCAGGGGGTTGTAGGAGCAGCCTCTATTGTCTTGTAGCTAAAGCTCATCTTTCCACAGCACTTCAGAAGGCTTCCTCTTTGTGCAGCTCCACATTAATACTCAAAAGTAGGCAAGACTGTAAAATTTTGTGGTAGGATCATGATTTGATCATTTATGGGCATCAAAACCCCCATAGCATTGAAGAGCTTTTATAGTCCAAAACCTGCTTTAACTCTTCCCTGCTTTTCTCTCCTTCACAGGTCAGTGGGCTGCCAACTCCAGATGTGATGTGGTATCAGAATGGAAGGATGGTTCATCAAGATCAGTTCCATAAAATGATAGTGTCAGAAAAGGGATTCCACTCATTTATTTTTGAGGCAGTCAAATCCTCTGATGCAGGGACATACGAATGTGTGGCTGTCAACCGTGCAGGAGAAGCATCTTTTGCAGTAAAAGTGGAAGTCATTGGTAAGACTGAGAGCACTGATAACTACCTGACCACACATGGAAAATCTCAGTAATCTAATGCTTTCCTCCATGTGTTTGGAACATAAACCAATTAAGAAGCAGAGCTAGATCTCTATAGATTCAGTCTCAAATGATAACAAACCCCTTACCTTTTCCAATATTGTTTTAAAGCATACATCCAGGATGCCATATTTCTTCAAATCACTTTTGGTGGGACATTCAGATGTAGTGGGATGTCCAGAATTTGGGAGCTGTTAATCTCCCAAGATAAATAACCTATGTTGACTGACTCTCCTCCTAGACTGGATTGTGTCTACTACACCCTTATGCTCATGGGAATTGCCGGTATGCTAAGGAGATGCAGTAAGGAACATGTGCCCCACTGAATTAACATTCTGAAATCTTAAAAACCAAGCCTGATATTAGCATTCAATACTTACAGTAACTCCTCTTTATCTTCTTTAATTTAGCCAAAGAACATCACACGCCGCCAACTTTCATCTTCAAGCCACAAAGCAAAAAGGTTTTTGAAGGAGATACAGCCAGACTCGAATGCCAGATCTCTGCTATCCCAACACCCAGGATTTACTGGAAAAGAAACAACGAAATGGTACAATATAATACAGACCGAATAAGGTATCCCACTAATGAGTTGGTGTGTTAGAAAACAATAACCAATATTTGTTATGCCAAAATTGGCTGGTTTTAAAAGTAGCAAGCTGGAAAGCTAGATCTGCCCCTTGTTTATGACACACAGTGAACAGGACCGTAAGTCTTGGTCTTGAGAGCACAGAGAGAAAACCATGACCAGATGCCACACTGAATTCTAGCAGCAGTTACAAGGCCCATGGAGAAGCCTGGCCTTAGGATTGAAACATGCAATGCATCCATCATGTGCTGATGCAATAGGGCTATAGAAGGGCCTTGGTGCCACATGAATGATGTGATGATATGATTCACATGATGTCAATCACAGATTGGTTTGAGTTGGAAGGGACCTTAAAGCTCATCCAGTTCCAACTGCTGCATGGGCAGGGACACCTTCCATTAGACCAGGTTGTTCCAAGCCCCGTCCAACCTGGCCTGGCATCACTAGTGTCTTACAATACAAATGCAGTGTTGATGTCTAAACAGCCCTGCAAGAATTGTTCCAGGACTTGCTCAGTTCCTCAGCATGTAAACTGCCTCTGATTTCAATGTCTCTCTCCTTATGTGGCACTTACACAAACACCTTCATTTTTCAGCTTGCTACATGATAACACTGGAAGGATTTGCCTCCTGATTCATAATGCTAACAAGAAAGATGCTGGCTGGTACACCGTGTCTGCTGTCAATGGAGCAGGAGTGGCCACATGCCATGCCAGGCTAGAGGTTGCAAGTAAGTACCACCACATCACAGTGCCACAACCACAACTGAAACTGCCACCGGTATTCAGAGCAGACCCTCAAGATCTAAGCTTCATCTATTAATGAAGCTTAGAGTGCTGAGAGGATTGCTTTCCAAAGATAGTGGCCCAGACAAAAAGTATCTCTCTCAGTAAAAACTCTTTTGTTGAGTGTCAGGACACTGTGGTGTGTCCTTTGAACACTGTCTGTTACCTGCACTGTTTAAAGGCTACAGTTTGATACCAAGAAGGAGGGTGAATATAAATCTCTGGTGGCTGAGATATGGGCTTGGTCTGTTAAATTCTTCCTGCGGGTTTGCTGGTTTATGCTGCAGATAAAAAGGAACTGGGTTGCTCTGCCCTGAGTCTTCCCACAGACGCTAAAAGAGGTTTTTTTCTCTCTTCCAGCACATACAAACAAGCCAGTTCCAGCCTCAAAGCAGTTACGGGTCCGACCAACTTTTAGCAAGTATTTGGCACTGAATGGAAGAGGACTGGATGTGAAACAAGCTTTCTCACCAGAAGGAGAGTTTCAGCGGTTGGCTGAGCAGTCTGGACTGTATGAAAGTGATGAACTTTAACTGGAAGAGGAGATCTTGCACCTGTAAGAGACAATTACAACATAGATGCAGTTAACTGGTGATTGCCCTCATTAGCAAAATACCTATCTACAGATTTTTACTGTCCCCCACATTGAGCTCTTCCCGTTTTACCATGTTAGAGTTTATTTATATGGCTTGGTGACTGTAACCATTTACTGAGGATTGTATTTGAACTATAAAGCCTAAGGAAGCAGGCTAGTTTGTACAAGCGCGGGTGGGTTTGGTTCTGCCTGTACTCGGTTACATGCTGAAGTAGGTTGGTTTGTACTGCTGCTCTTGACCGTATCAGAAGTCTGTGCTGTCTGAATACTAAACCCAAATAGATTAGAGTGTTTTTATGAGATTAGCGGCAAATAAACCTTTGAGTAGCCAACATCAGCCGTGAGTCTTCCTTGATCTGTTAAAACCAGCTTGCAGGTGCCTAGCATCACCTGCAGCCTGGCAAAGGTACATTCTTGCCCTCTAAAGCCTGCCACTGCTTCCCTCCCCTCTCTGCTCCCCCCGTTGTTTCTCTTCTACTGTCTATAAACTAGATGCTGGCACTCCCTTACCACTAAACCATGGCAATGAGGCAGCATTCATCCTCTTTCTCCTCGCACACTTGACCCAAAAGCTGCCCTGCATCATTTGAAGCTTTAAAGCTATGTTTTCCCTCCTTGCTCCTTTAATCAAGGCTGTGGCTTACCTGACTGTTGACTCTCAACAACCTATTGCTTTGAGTCCTCCGAATGGTTTGTGCGGCGCAATTCACAGCCACCTTGCTCAGAATAACAACAAGAAATACCATGAAATGTGATTTTTGCCCAATCCAACAAGCCTGATCTCTGAAGCTTTTCCCACTGTGTGAGGGTGGGGTTGCACAGCAACACCGCTGCTGGCAGCAAACCCACAGCATCTTCCAGCATGGACAAAATGAAGCTTCAGCTTCCCCCCAACCCCGCAGTGCCATTAAATGAACCCCAGCTCTGAACAGCACAATGCTATTAAACTCCTAACAAAACACAACAGCTCTATCCCCATCCTTCCCCTCTGGGCTGCCCGAGCAATGCAATGCACTGAAGGGAGTCCTCCGGTGGCTCTGAGCTGATCAGACACTGATACCGCGTTACCGGTTGTGACCATGAGGATGCCGCAGTGCTTGGACCAGAGCAGGGCACCAGTGCTCAGCAGCAGCACCCCGGGCTCCCGGCTGGGCGCACTCAGCGCTCCGCGGCGCTGCCCTACCTTTAAACGCAGACCTCGTGTTCCCTGCGCTCCCCGCTCGGCTCCCTTTAACCGGACACAACCGCCCGCAGCTCACCGGTTAATCCCGCCCGACGGCCGCGGGCTCTGCCTGCGGGACGGGACGGGACAGACCCGACCCGACCCGACCCGAACCACAGCACCGCCAGCAGCGGCCTCCGAGGGCGGCAGGGCCCGGGGCCCGGCCCGAGGCGGGGGAATGCGCTCACCGCCGCCCGTTGAGACCCACACCGGGAAGCGCCGGGAGCTGCCCGTGGTGGAGCCCCGCTTGCCCGGCCAAGGTGCGTCAGGCGGCCCCGCTGCCCTCAGGCCCCGCTCCCTTCCCCTGAGGGCCGGGCCGCAGTTTAGTGTTGCCCAAGCTGCAGCCTGAGGGCCCCGTGCCCTGACCGGGCTCTGCCCCTGCTGCCCTTTCCTCATGCAGGCACCCCGAAGGCCCAGGAGATGGGCACCAGCGAGCAGGAGCTGAAGGACATGCTGCGGAAGCTGGGCATCTATGTCCTCTTCCTCATAGACCTCTCTATACGTAAGTCACCAAAGGGCTTGAGCCCTGCTGACAAGTCCCTACTGTGTGAGCTCTGCCTCTTCCCCTATCCCCATCATCCACCCCAAAGCATCACTTCAAGCCAATTGCCTTTCTCTAGGAACAAGAGAAGCAAGGTTAGAAGCTGTTGTCATGCTCTCATTTTAGCCTGTGAGCATCCTCTCTTTGCCCCTTCTTTCCAGTGGCCTTTGGCATGGTGAGCACAGACATGTACCACCTGAACACAGTCATGACCCATCTCTTCATGGAGCCCGCTGAGGGCAAGGATGGGTTTGGGACCATTCGGAGCAAATCTGACTTCTGGAAGGTAAGGCTTTTGTTACAGACAAGTGAGGAATCTCCCAGTGTTAATTCAGAGCAATACAGGCTCATGGAACTCAATGAACTTAAGGTCCTTTCCAACCCTAACCATTCTGTGGCTCTCCTAAAAGCTGTGTGCTAGATATTGTGCTTTCAGCACAAGAAAGGCAAATAACTCATTAAAATGCATTTGGATTGGGTACAAGCACACACGAATACTGACACTTCTGATCAATCAGTCGAGGAAAAGAACAGCCCAGTTAATTGCTGCATTATGGTCTCAGTGAAGCTTGAAAGAGCTTCGATAAAACCAGATTTTGGGTTTACAGCCCTTTCAACTTTCAGCTGCTAAAACCAATCCAAGATCTCACAGCCCAGAAAGCCAACAGTATCCTGGGCTGCATCAATGGGAGCGTGACCAGCAGGTCGAAGGAGGTGATCCTGCCCCTCTGCTCTGCTCTCGTGAGACCTCACCTGGAGCATTGTGTGCAGTTCTGGTGTCCTCAGCATAAAAAGGACATGGATCTGTTGGAACAAGTCCAGAGGAGGCCACGAGGATGATCAGGGGCTGGAGCACCTCCCATATGAAGATCGGCTGAGAAAGTTGGGGCTGTTCAGCCTGGAGAAGAGAAGCTGCGTGGAGACCTCAGAGCAGCCTTCCAGTATCTGAAGGGGGCCTATAGGGATGTTGGGGATGGACTCTTCATTAGGGACTGCAGTGGTAGGACAAGGGGTAACGGGTTCAAACTGAAACAGGGGAAGTTTAGATTGGATATAAGGAGGAAATTCTTTCCTGTTAGGGTGCTGAGGCACTGGAATGGGTTGCCCAGGGAGGTTGTGAATGCTCCATCCCTGGTGGTGTTCAAGGCCAGGTTGGACGAGGCCTTGGGTGAGATGGTTTAGTGTGAGATGTCCCTGCCCATGGCAGGGGAGTTGGAACTGGATGATCTTAAGGTCCTTTCCAACCCAAACTATTCTGTGATTCTATGATTTCCACTGGAAAACCACCTTGGCTCCCCTGCTTTGCTGTTACATTACCCTGTATTCCAGTGACATTTGCAAAACACTTGTCTGTTTTCACTACTAGATGGAGACCTCCCAAAATGACCAGCATTGACCAGATGCCAGCAGGAGGCAATGTTTCTCATCCCACTCTTCCTTACAAATGGAAATGCCTGGCTATAACAATTCATTGGGAAGGATTGCCCTCCCTCTTAGCATGGTGTCTGTAATTGCCAGTCCATCAAATAGGGAGCCTTTGCTATTACAGTGTGTGGGCTGAGGCACTAGGCATGGTTGTAATGCCTGCTGAGATGGTCCCAAGTCATGAGGGTGTATTGTTTTACACTCGGAATAATACTCCCCCCAAACTGAATCCTCTTTATTGGCATGTAAGAAACTCCCAGAAAAAAGAGGGATTGTTTTTTCCCCACCTTCACAAATAAATACATTCAGATGACTAAAACCCTAATGAGAAACATAGCCCAAAACAGATCCGTCAGAGATTAAGATAACCAACAGATTTTGTTAAAACAACATATAGTGTTTGTGTTTAAACATATTTGTTTAGAATTCAGGAGAATTCTAAAGAGATGTTACAGTCTTACCCTGAATAATGCCATTACACATCCCTGACAGAACTGCACAGGGAACAGAATTGACTCATAGCAAAAAGATGTAAATATATCATATGTGTAAGACAGTACATCAGTGGGAGTTGTTTGTATTCTAGCTTATACTCCATAGCTATAAGTAACCTGGGAACCCTGTATTTGTGATTATTAGAGATAATAGTAGAGATACCAGAGATTTGTATGCTAAAGAGAGGGGCGATAGTGGTATTTAAATCTTCTGAAACCTTAACCTCACTTGTACGTGCAGTTTGTACAGGGACCACTGCTGGATGGACTCTACTGGGACAAATGGTACAACAACAAGACGTTACCCTTCCAGAACTACAGCCATATTTACTATGAGAACTTACTGTTAGGAGCAGCGCAGGTTCGACAGGTCAAAGTGCGCAACAACACGTGCTCCATCTACCCCTATTTCCGTAGCTTTTTAGACGAGTGTTACAGCGAGTACCATTACCAAGCTGAAGACAGGTCTGACGATGCGCTAAGGAACGAATCTGAGTAAGTCATCCTGCTCCAGCACAGAAATGCTTTTGGAAACCTAACGAAAGCCTTAATGCCACTACTGTTCCCTCAGTCACAACTGTGCATGCAGTTAGCTGAGTTTTTCCTCTTGTTTTACATTGTGATAAATCATGGCTTTGCTCTTGTGCCAATATTATGCATGGGAATTCAGCATGGGAAATCTAGAGCGGAGAGACAGCAAGAACTGGAAACAGCAAACCCAGTTCAGCAGAAGCACATGTTATTGGGTCTATCTCCATTAACATCTCTGGAGAAATGCTCAGTTATATGAGACTTGAATTTAAATCCCATGTTTATAAATTGGAATCGTGCTAAAATGCTCTGAAAACAGAGCCAGAAGGCCTGCTTCACACACTTCATTTAGCATGAATTTAACGCAATGGAAGAAGCTGTGAACATGCCACAGAAACAATGAATTATGGAAACCAGAGATACTCCATTTGCCTACAAAGGTTTTAAGGTCATGAACTGTCTGGCCCACATTGGGCAAAATCCAGATTCATAACCAACTGCTGTCTAGTGAATGTACTGAGCAGCTAAATATAATTTGAGTATCTTAAGGCCATACTCTTTATGTAAAGAAATGCATTATTTAAAGGTCTGGCTTAACTGGTCAGTCATGGATGCAGAACACAAGAACTAGCAAGCGTTGTATAAAATAAAAGGTGAAGCTTACTTCAGTCCAGGTTCCATAAGCTGAGTGCTTTGTGTTCCCATTTCTGACCAGATGGAAATACACCCCAGCTGATTCATTTACCCTGTGGTACTTGGGAAGTATGGGCTTGTACGGTGGTGGAGGGTATTTGTTCACCTTACCTAAATCGAAGCAAGAGAGCATAGAGAAGTTGGCCTCTCTGAAGCAGAACAACTGGCTCACTAGAGGAACCAGAGTTGTATTTATCGACTTCTCAACATACAACGCTAACATAAACCTCTTCTGTGTAGTCAGGTGAGTTCTTACCTTTACTACATGTGAAGTCCAGTTTACTGAGGCATGATGCTTTCATGAGGACACAAGGGAGGGCTGGTCACCTGAAGCATCTGCAGCCACGTTTCCCAGGTAGTAGCTGGCAAGACAGTAATCCATTAAGAATGCAGAAGTGCAGGGAGCAGACCCAGAT